GACTTATTTGTTCCAAAAATTGTCCAAGGACTTATTTAACATATTTTGGAATGTCGAAGGACTTATTTGTTTCAAAAAATTGTCCAAGAACTTATTTAACATGTTTTGAAATGTCCAAGGACTTATTTGTTCCAAAAAAAAGTCTAAAGACTTAATCATTTCAAACAAGAAAGTCTATTGGTTTTTATTGTACTTTTCCCTAAAAAGAAAGTAAATGAACTTAAGATAGGAAGATTGATTGATGATGGCATATATAAGATTGATTGATGACATATATAACACATGCTGAGCACTTCGACTTGAGTTAAACTTGCATACACCTGCACATCTTCCAGGTTAAGAGGAATAGTTAATTGATTGTAAAACGCCAATGGTGATCTCGTGCTAGCTATGTGATAATTAATATATATAGAAAGTTGGGGTCCTCATAAACATAAAATAAATATATGCACTATTTTTGCTTTACAGTAGCGATTTACACATCAATGCGAACTCCTGGAGTATTTATTAATAATATCATGTGACCCACCAAAGATATAAATGATTAATTAAGTTCATGTAGCAATCAAATATCTGTTTTTTTTTTTTTTTTTCATATGCAAAGAAAATTTGGAAACCGTAAATTATGTGATGATTTTTATCTAGAAGGGAATGAAACTATATGACAAAAGCAAAAATGAATGTGACCAGGTTTGACCCCAAACTCTACTTGCAAATAATTGAGTTGGCTGCTTTACGTGGACTCGTTTTCTGATCAAATATAAACATTTTCTCCCCTAATAATAAGAAAATGAAACATGTATGAAATAGTGTAATTAGTGACTGCAAAGTACTCTGCAAGTACCGTGTCCTAAGAAGAAGGGTCTGCTTCTGCATCACGTTAAATTCCCACAACATGTTTTCTGTGTTGGAAATAGTCTTTAATGTAGTGGAAATTCTCGTCCAACAATAGGAAGAAGAAAAGTGAAGATGGGTAATATATCCATAATTGTAAATATGAAACTAAGACTAAAAATCTGAGGACAACGTGTGACTTATTAAGAAGAAGACAAGAGAACTGTGTGGGTAAAATTTCTCAAAATCACGACTGACGTTAGAAACTAACGACCAAATAAACATCGTGGATAATTACTGACGACCAAGTACGTTGAGACTAGTAATCATCGCTATTAACAAATAAGCGTACGATGAAATATACTAATATCATTGATCACCACTAAGTAACGACGATCACAAGTTTTCTCATATTTATCGTCATTAACTAACGACAAACAACGTTTTGTACTGTTTAATGCAGATCTTCCCATATTTAATAGCAACGGACATAACCGAAAGCAAACACTCAAGATCATTAAAGACAAAGACCGTTGCTGATATCAAGGCTTATAAAGACACGGTTATGAAGGCAATTCCTATATAAACAAAGCTCACCTCAAATGAGACGTACCAGCTACATACAAATTATACAAGCAAACTCACGATTTTTTACTTACGATCATA